TACTAGCAAGAAGTTTGAACGCGCCCCACAAGCTTTTGCAATATTCATTTCCCACATAAACCTTTACCAGGCAAACCGAGCCTTCTTATGGCTATGCATGCGCTATTTACTACTTTACAGCCCACTTGCTCGTAGGTCTCCCTCTTTGCCCAGCCATCATGCCAGGAACCTTGGCATTGTTGACGACCACTTCTTGTATACCAACCAGGATTACCAGAGACAGGTGTGCCTCTGTTGGTCCTATGGAAGCAGGACATACCATGACGACCAGCCAGAGCTCATCCATGAAAGATGGCCAAACCAGTCCATAGCAACCAGATGCTGGGTTGCCCATGGAGAAACCTGGCAGTTTTGGCGAGTGGTCCAGTGGTCCAGTGGATGGGAAGACTGGGTTAGGAACAACGGCCGCAACTTCACAGATGCCTACACCATCCAGATCTGCTTCGGGGGGACGCGCTAGACCCAACCAACTGTGTGTCTCATACCGTGACTTCTTCCTGATATATTCTGTGTGGACGTCGTTCTGCGGAAGCACAACGCTATCCTTGCTGTGTACAAAGACTAGTCGCGAGCCGAACAACAAGAGTGCGCTAAAACATCTACAGTGCCTGCTGTGTGTCACTTCACGCTACTTTGTCGCGTTTTTCTCTGAGACAGTCAATTACTCAATGACAAGCATAGTGGTTGGTTATACTAAAATATCTACTCAACAGCAGTGACGAATATATTTGGAAGAAGGTTCACGCAACCCACAAGCTTTTGCAATCGCACATGAACCAGAGCCTTCTTATTCCTCTTTGCCCAGCCATCATGCCAGGGAACCTTGGCATTGTTGACGACCACTTCTTCAGCGTCAACCAGGATGACCAGAGGCAGATGATTCACACGTTGTTGTTCAGTCTGCAGTGCGGCATGTGGTGATGCAATTGTTGAGATGGCAAAGCCAGCACGCTGGCTAACATCATAGTTGAAGTGGGTAAGCCAGCACGCTGGCTGCCATTGTCCAGATGGCAAAGCCAGCA